AGGTTGCTCAAAGCCTCATCCAACCTGGCCTTGAACACCTCCAGGGATGGGGCATCCACAACTTCTCTGGACAACCTGTTCCAGTGCGTCACCACCCTCACAGTGAAAAATTTCTTTCTAGTGTCTAGTCTAAATCTGCCCTCTTTCTTTTTAAAACCATTACCCCTTGTTCTATCACATCACTCCCTGATATTACGTATGTACTATGTAGCATCATTTTCAAATCAGTTTTTATTATTCATCACCATTTACAAGCATAAATACTCATCATAGAAGAAAGCAAATAATAATAATAATAATAATACCAAAAGAAATAGAAATCTCACCATGTCCAATATTAGCTGTATGATCTCTGCCAGGGAGTCTCCTGTCAAGGGGAGCCTGTTCTTTCATTACCTTCCAGTCAGCATCACCTATGCTTAGTGGCTTCCATCCACAGAGGTCAGTCTCAAAATCACATATAGTGTAATTCACTGTTGTAAAAAGAACAGCAATAAGAAATAATTAAACCGAATTTAATGTAACTGTTCAACTGCAGAACTGTGACTATTTTGTATTTGGATGTACAAGGAGTCTTAAAGAAGCATGAGTATTTTTCACTGAAATCCAAATTATCCAGATGGACAAAAAGTTCCAGAATACAGGTAACAGATCAGGCAAGCCTTTCTCTTCTTAATCCAACTCAGAATCATGAAGGAAACCACCTACAAGAGAATAAACTATATTGTATTAAAGATAAGACCTCCACATAGGCTGCTGACAGATGATAAAAGTAATAATATTTATAAAAGATGTATTTTACTGGAAAATTAATTATAAATGTGTGGAAAAAAGTAAAATGTATGTAGTACTTTAAATACACTGAAAGATGAATTAAGCTTCCACTTAATTTCTTTTTGGAAATGAGATTTAAAATTATTAATCATTTAGTTCTCATAGAAATTTATATTGAAAAGTAAAAGACTTTTCTCAGTTGATCTAGATTAGATCAACTTAAATGGTAT